CAACATCATTAATTTTGTTAATGTATTAGTAACTAATGTTACTAATTAAAAATATTATTATTATTATTATTATTATTAATATTATTATTATTATCATTATTATTATTATCATAATAATAAACTGTCGACACCGTGATGAACACTGAGAGAGTGTACGCTAGACGAAGAACAAAGGCTCCTCAAGATAATAGGAAATAATATACTAGACTCCAAATCCAGGCGTCAGAAGGTTTATAAAGTGAAACATGAGTGACCGTCCAGTTTGGTATACTTTATATACCTGCACTGCGGCAATAATGCTGATAGAAAATAACAGCTTTTTTCGCACTGTGGCAGTGCCGATAGAAAAAAGCAGCTTTTTGGCACTGCGGCAGTGCAGATAGAAAACAGCAGCTTTTTGGCACTGCGGCAGTGCCGATAGAAAACAGCAGCTTTTTTTCGCACTGCGGCAGTGCCGATAGGCTCAGCCTTTAACTTTAGATTTTATAAATACTAATATTGAAATATTTTCTTATTCTGTACAATTTAAATGTTTATTATTTCTGTGTGTGCTTTATTTTTTGAGATTAATTCCACAATGGACAATAAATATCATTATGGTTCTGTCATGTATAGAAAAACATAATTGTCATTAAATGACATCTGTGGGTCAATAAAACATATCCTCTATTAGATTATTTTACAATCTTGTGTCATGAATTTGTGTTCAGCATTGAAAAGGCATATTGAATTTACATATTCTTTAAGTAATTTTTAACATTCTTTAGATATTCATAAGATGCAAATATTGAGTTAACGTTAACTTGATTATTGCTAGCAAGTAACATTAGTTGCACTGCATAGCAGTCCCCAACGCAATTGGGAAGATTCCTCGATTCGACTGACTAATCAGCATCACTGAAAGGTGTCGGTGATAGCGTGTAGCGATTGTATGGAAACAAAGCTTTAGTCTTGTAAACATCTTATTTCCTACAGTATGTGTATATAAATCAGAAATCAAAATTACTTAATTGATTACCCTTTCACACCACACTTTCCCACTAAATTACATCTTCAGTACTACTTGTACTGATTTTAGTAATGCAATATCTGAACAACAGTGTATTTGATTGATCATTCAATATTTAAAATTTATTTGGCAACATTTTTAATGTAAGTACAGATGAATATTTGCATGATCATATAATATTCAAGAAAGTAAACAGCTCTAAATTTACCTGTCTAGTCTGAAAGGCAGCTGTGTTGTATTCTAACATATTACTATGTATAACAAAGTATAACCTAATGTAAACATGGAACAACAAAAATTTAGGATTTGATAAACTAATAAAATATATTTTATAGGTTAGTAGCTATTCCATACTGTAGTATTTAATGAAATAACCAATTTTTCCCAATCAATGTTCTACACCTCCGATAAAAAACTTTTAAAGTTTATTTTGTTTTATGTTAGTTGTCTGTGATTAGAGCTGCTTTAACATATGTAGGTCGGCATAATATTTAAACAAATTTTATTTAGACAAAATATGTTAGTTTTAATGGTTTTACCATTACGATTTTTGGAAGTTACATAAATATATAGAGTAGATATCATATATCTTTTTCGTCAATGACAAACATGATTACAAGATTGAAATACAAACACTTAAAAAAGTCATTAAAACTGGATTGCTCAAAACTGAAAACAAGTTTACCTTTAGGGAACTCTCCGTATTGTATCTGACTTATAAAATGAAATTAATGTAAATCTGCAAAGTTTAAAATTTTGTTTATAAAGTGTAAAATTAATGCATTCAAATTGACCATAAAACATGGTTTAAGTATGTACATTACAAAACAAACAAAAAGTAACAGAAAGCATTATGCTTATGATATTTGTTATAATTATAACTTATTTACTGCACAGTTTAATTCAATTCAATTTCAAGTCAATTCAATCATTTTTTGTTTCAACAGAGTTTAATTCAATTCAATCATTTTTTATTTTAAATACAACAACAAACAATCAGAACAATAAAAAAATATAAAAAGTTTAATGTCGTGTTGATGACGTAAATCAAAGATTCGACCAACTATCACCACTGTTTTCGAATTCTGGTATGAATGCTTCATCCCGAACACTACTGAAACCCATGCTTTCCGAATGAGAGTTGAATTCGTAGTGAGATAGAGCTTGCGTCAAACCACTGGATTTATCACCATACTAGAAAATAAAAGTTAACAAAGAATAATCTAGAGATTAACTTATTTTACAGTGGATCAGCAGAAATTATTCTCCTGAAGACGATTGAAGCAACTCAATCGAAACATCGGGACTTTCTCAACTCTTCCAAACTACCTACGTGGTGTACCGCAAGCTTGAACATATATGTTGTTTTATAGTGGTGTATATAGGAGTCTTTAAAAAAAATGGGGGGTGGCGCGTCTGCAAATGTGAAGTGGGGGGGGGGAGGGCTCGATGATGTGAGGGGTGTTAGCTCGCAAAATATGGTGATTTGAAGTGAACTATCTGAGCGTGATTTTTTAGCTTTTAACATTTTCAATAGAGGGGGACGACTAGGGGCAGGGTATTTTTTGGGCTGGGGTCGTGCACCCCACTGCATGAGGATGTTTGTATCACATCATGTCTGCTGCGGATTTGTAGACGTTGATTGTAAATTCCCTCATACCTGTGAACTTGTTTCCATCAAAGGAATGAATTCCGCTATGCTGAATGTTTGGCCTGTACTTTCTTCTTCATCGTTTGCTTCTTCTGTGCCGCTCACATTGTCTTTTTGTGTGGGCTTCATCTCACCTAATTCAAAGTCAGTTTTTTTTAGTTTACACACTTCGTCGTGCATGTTAGTCTCCAAGTCTTTGGCGTCATGTTAAGGAAGACTCAAATTTGAATTACCAAATTCATAAATTACATACGATTACAGTATAAGAATAATTGAGTATTGTTGATTCTTACAATTTTGTAATATGAGAAACGTGCCGCACCAATTTGTTAAATTTCGACATAGTACTGTATTTACAAATTGTGTCTTATCAGCAGGTTTGCTTTCTAATTAATTTGCATGTTCACGAGTTGGCTGAGCATGGAAACACAGTCTGTAGCCTAAAGCTGTTGTATACGTCAGACCTACTCGCGCGCACAGTTCAGTCAAAGAGTATAGAACTGTTCAGTCTTAATGCCTGTTTACACTATGACGATAACGATAAAAAGCAATTGTTCATATAGAAAATAAGGGAAGTTTTCAAACTAGCACGATTCGATAACGATTTATCGTGTATGTGTCAAAAAATATTTCGCAAGTCTAATGACGTCATATTCTATATGAAGCTTTTCAGCTTTTTATCGTCGATAGTTATCGTCATAGTGTAAACAGCCCTAATGGTGGACAAGCAAGCGCATTTAGATACTGTAGCCTGTACTGATAGCTTTGGTAGCATTGTTTACCAGTGTTTGGTACTTGCAACTAGTAATTCCCGATAATTTGATGTATAAATCCGAATCATTGGTAACGAACTCCAGGATGGTGTCTAGTTGTTGGTACAGCATGGTAAACGTTGGTCGCTTCCTTGGATGTTCATGCCAGCACGATTTCATTATTTTATACCTAAACACAGATATTAACATTTAGTGCATTGGGACTCGAATTATTTCCTTGAGTTGAAAGAAAGCCTGCTTCACACAAGGCGGCACATAGTTCAATGGAACAGTCCAACTTCAACTCATTAAAATATTCTTTTTAACGGCACAAATGAATTTATTTGATAATGCACCAAACAGATTTTTTTTGTCAATTTGATATGTAATAAAATGAAGTCTGGTCTACCTTTCTTCTAAATGGAAGAGTCCATTTTCTTTCAACGAATAAAAACATTGTAGTTGTACTGGGTGGGGTGGAACAACATGAATAAAACAAAAATGAATGGCAGTAAAACTAAATCATATGAAGGTATGATGCACATCAAAGCATGGAATATTTTACTATTAAATGATGTAAGTCCAATTTTGTCAAGGATCTATGCGCTTACAACTAGGAACATAACCACCGATCATTTGTGTGCATACTCAAAATTGTAAGCTTATGTAAGTAATCCTCTGCAATCATACAGAAAAGTTCTAGAGCACGCAGCTTTAGAACTTGAAATTTTACTTACGCTGTGCAAGGACATTGCTCTGGTCGCTGCATGCGATAACCACGTTGAAGGAGCTGAGGTAAAGTCCCCACTATAATGCCGGGATATGGTGACTTTCCAAATGTAAATACTTCATTAAGTAAAATCCCAAAAGACCACCTGAAACCGAAACACAAGGGGAAAAAATTGATTATTACAGAATTTGTTACTAGGCCTAATGAAATGATAGCTATCATCCTAACTCGCAAATTTGTTTTCCATTCAGGTGTTTTCTATCAAGCCTACCGGTAATTCTGTCATGTATTTTGCATTTTCCAATTAAGTATGGTAAACATTATTGTGGTACTGTATTGATGTTATCATTAAGTGTATGGTATAAATTAATATTTGTTTACTGTATTAATTTTTTAAATGGTATTCCTTCCCCGATTCCTTCTGGCAGACATCCACTAAAGAAAAGATAAAGATAAGATAAAGATAATAATATCAAAATCGACGATGACGTGAAGATGTTGTGAGAGAAACAGCACCAGAAACTAACAAATAGAAATTACTTATCTAACATCATATAACATTTCAACTTAGATTAGAACACTCCAAACTTACACGTCACTCATTGGAGTCATAAACTGTTCTATGAGCGTTTCCAGACTGTACCATTTCACTGGAACTTCTCCGTCTTTTAATCGTAAATATCCCTTCTCGTACGCATCTTGTCCCAAGCCAAAATCACCTATCTTGGCCACTAGACCTTCGCCAATTAAAATGTTTCGCGCAGCTAGATCCCCATGAACAATCTTTAAGCTGGAAATGTACTCCTAAATGACATACAGTAAATGTTTTCTTTATTGCATATAACAGCGTAAAACACTAATTAAAAGATGTAAATATAATTTAAAATACAACATATCAAAATCTAAAATGTAAAACGGTAAGCACACTAAAGGAGTTGCATTCACATCGAATTCGAATCCGGGTTTTCGGATCGGAAAGCCTAACGAAGCGTTCAGAAAAACGAATAAGTGTACGAATTGGAACGCTGGCGTTCAGTGCTTCGGAAACGCGATCCGAATTTTGGTTAGGATCCGATGTGAATTTAGCTTAAGAAAGAATATCAATTATTGTTATAAATATCAATAAAAATAAAATATTTCGTTTCAAATGTATTTTCAAATGTACTTTCGTACCCATAAGCACTTGTAGGCCTGAACAGCAGATGAATATAATATATGTGTATATAATAATATGCTTAAGTTTTTTAATAAGATCCTCGTATACGTGTTTGTATTTCCATTTTGTTTGTGTTATTCGCTTAACTGAAATAATTACAGTAGTCTCAGCCAGAAAAGAACGTACTACTGTATTGAGCGTTAGGCCAGCTGTTTAAAAATCATTATCTGTGAAAATCGGAAAATCCCTCATGATTGCGATATAGATCAAAACAATTTATTATGGCCTAGATACAGC